CCTTGCCGGAATTCAAAGTAACTCCGGCGGACAGCGGACTCGCCATTTCGGAGTCCGAATTGGAAAAAGGAAACAAGCCCTAAAACACTCAAATCTCCTCAATCCGACACTCAGCCACGACCGATTTTTGTAGAAGAAGCTTACTTTCGATTTCTCTTCTCACTCCCTCTCCGAAGTGGGAAGCATGATCTACTTCCTTCCACCGTCGTCTACTTTCTTTCGCTCTGAATCGCTTTTACTTTTTACTCTCTCAGTCTTCGTCAGCTAGGAGAGCATAATTCGCACAATACTGGAAAAACAAAGTCAGCGGACAGTAAAAAAGAGATGAAATCTACGACGCCGTTTTAGCGTTAAATTAATTCAACGATTTTTGGCTTTTATATTCGCATTTGCTTCTGAGATTAACGGCTTCATTATAATTTAACATATTTGATTCTAAGGTTAATGGCTTGATTACAATTTAAACTAAGGTAAAACTAATCGAACATTCGTGAAAATCACAGTGGGCTGTCGGGTGGAGGGAAGGAATGAAATTGAGAGCGACAGTCTACCTCCCACGTCATGTCGTTTAGCAATTTAAACAGTTAAATTGGGCCATCAGTTAAGTACGGCCCAATATTGCAACTGCCGAGAAGCCCAACGCTCATTTATGGAATTTACCGTTTAATCGTTCATGGACATTTAACAACCTTCCAAGTTTGTTACATGACATTAGGAGGACTATTGTATCCACTTGTTTTGTACTTTGGTATTTATAGTTTCAAAATTTTCATTTTAATAAAGTGAGGTTTTTAATCTCTATTTAAATATTCGCCATTGTATCCACTTCTATCCCAGGCCCAAGTAAGCCCAATCCAAAAGGCGTAAGACGGGCCTGAAGGCCCATCCCCATATAGAGATGAGATTATCTCGATCGATTTACCACCACTGTTCCGTACAGCTCCGTGGGGGCAACCCATAGTGGGCAGTGGGCAGTGGGCAGTGGGCAGTGAGCTGAGCAATCAATCCATTTGCCGTTTGAAAAAAGCATCGAAAATAATTTGTTTATTTTTTAATAAAGAAAAAGAAGCCGACTCCATTGAATTTAAAATCTGAGATTGGGCAAAATCCAAGGCGACTGGATGATTTAAGGCCCACTTTTTCTTTCACACAGGATAAGATTCTTATACTCATTCCAATTTGTTATGATAGAGAATAATAATGCATTCTACCGTATTTATCTTTTATTTTTCTTAAATATTATGACCTTTAATTTGTTTCTCAATATACAACAATTTCAGTACATTTATTATCAAATAAATCATATTAATGCTTATATAATTTATTACAAGATTTCAGGGAAAATCTAAATGGATGAATGAACGGACAGGATTGAAGATGATGGATGTGGGGCCAACTTCACGTGGGTCTCGTGTGAGCTTTTTGGTCCAGAATTTGCGTGCCGCCCACTTCCCATCTCTGTGTTAGGTTAAATTTTAGTTTTAATCTCCCAACGTTCTTTCATTTTTGTAAAAATATATATATATTTTTTTAATCAAAGTCACGTAACATTCGATTCTATGAACGTGGTAATGAGTGGCTTTTGATTTTACAATTTGTTGTTTTTCAAAAGCTAATATATTCGTAAATTTTAATACATTATTAGCTATTTTAATATATTAAGAGTCTCTTACTTATAATTTCCTTCCAAAAACTATTGAAAGAATATGCTTAATGACCATATGGGACTATTTTCCACGTGTTTAATATCTTTTTCAACAGTACTAATGTGGCTCCACGTCTTGTCAACCCATTTTATTTTTATTCCACTTAATATTCAAAATTGTAATTCAACTTTTTAAAAAAGCAGAAGAAAATATAATTAATAACGTATTGAAATTTATTCTCATCATTCAAATAAAGAATAATGCTCCATTTAAAAATGATTTGCTATTAAGTCAAACGGAAGTATCATTATAAAAATATCAACATTAGAGGAATATTTCTTTATTTTAATTTCCAACACAAATGTCATACATTTTTCTACGGTAAAAAAAATGAAATGGAATATTGGCTTTTATGTTTCAACACAGTAATTGAGATTGTAAAGAAATTATCCCTTGTTCTTATCTTCATAGTATTACAACGATTTAAAATAAATTTAACCGTCCAATTATTTTTTTAAAATTATATTTAAAATTCTATAATTTAAATTAATCAAATATTTTTTTTTATTGAGATAAACTTGATTGAAAAGAAATCCATATTTGATTTGTGTTTTCATAGTGGGAAAATATCTACGTAGCTCTCAGTACTGGTCTTCCAACATTTAAATTGGCGACAAATATACATAAAACAGGGGACACGATAATATGAAATGAACCCCCGAGGGATCGACACGTGGAAATTGAATATAACAGTTAAAACAGAATATTCAACCCAATTAAAAATCCGTCCATCCAAAAACACTGTTTGATATGATTTGACACGTTAACTGGAATCAATTCTTTTATAATTTTTAAAAGTTGCGAAATTCAAATAATTTAAAATTATATCAAAATCAGAGCCAACCCTAAAGCGAACCCGCGTGCGACACTTTAAGCAACCAAAAAACTTCCAACTGTTTCTGCCGGCAACCACGAGTCTCCAACTACCCCTTTGTTTATTTTATTAATAATTACTAATGTTTTTGGTATTACTTTTATATCCCTCCATCCCGCCCACGTGTCCGCATGTGAGCTTCATGCGTGCACTGTACCCTCACCAAAGTTGTTGCGTGCGCACGACACCTCTCTCTCTTAGTCTCTGATACAAACCCAGTGGGCCGCTGACGTGGCTCTTTGCTTTTAACTACTTTCAAACGCAAGCACGCTCTGTGTGAATGGGAAAAGCCTTTTCACTCCCATCTCCCTTTCCGGACAATTCTTCCATAACAATTATTTGGTTCTTTTATTTAGTATTAATAAAAAATCTAATTATTTGGTTCTTTTATTTTTTTCTTTTAAGGTTTTATCCGTTGAGAAAAGTGTTGTCCACCTTTATAAAAAAAATGTTTATTTCACCGTGTGATCTCACATTATTCATCCAAATAATTTATTACTTGAGAATAGAGATAATATAAAAATGAGAAATGATTATAGAAAACGACAGTGGGAGAGGAGAGGGGTTCATTTGTCTGATATCTTAATTAAACAAACTTACTTTCCACCCCCACCCTCAAAATAATCAAACAATAATGACATCATATTGGGGTGACTAGACTTATGTTTGCCCAATTAATGCTTTATCATCTTCTTTCCACGCATTCATATCTACCCCTAGATGGTGACATTTTTCTTCTTTTCTTTTTTCTTTTTTCGCAATTTGCTTACATCTATCCTCTATCCTCTAATCAATCTCAATGTTTTATAATTAGATTCAACCTTATATAATGTAAATTAATTATAAAAGCGTTGATTATCGAATAAAAGAAAGGTGGTGGTGGTGAATGAAACATTTGTAAGGTTGAAAATAAATGTATACATTTATTATTCCGAAAGAGAGTATCAAGATCTAACCAAACATAGTGTTAATAATTCAGAGAGAGGTCGAGAGAGAAATGTGATGGGTTTGCCTACGTTTGAGACAAGAGGCGAGTGCGGTCGGATGGGGGAAGTAGAAGTAGAAGTAGAAGAAGAAGAAGATGGAAGAAGTTATCCAGATTCTGTTATTTAATTAATTTATTTTTAGTTCCATTATTATTGGCAAGTTGTTGTAAGCTCCACAATGAAACGCCAGCGAATCAAATGCCCATCCCAACAAAATCATGGGTGGGCCGCAACTGTCTTATACTCCACACACTCTCCATTTTTATTATTTATTTTTTTATCACTCTATTGACACGTCTCTATTTATTTTTATTTTATTTTTTCCGCTTAAACAAATAGCATGAATCTACATTACTCCACGGGAGCGACCGAGTTGGTTTACTTAATTTAGGACCCCCAACCATAATTTGTGACTTTATATGTTGTCTGAATGTTTAGGCATAAATGTGAATTAAAGAAGGCAAAATGAAGAAATGGTGTTTGGTTTTTGTTGCTTCCTCATACTTATTTTTTAAAAAGGGAAAGAAAATTTTTATATTATTTTCATTATCTCATATTTAAAAAAGAAAGAAAAAAAAAAAGATAGTAAAGTAGGTCGAAAGTCCACTCGAGCAACTACTTTGTAGTGAGGTAAAGGTGTGGATTCTTTGTTGTTGATGAATCATATTCTAGCATCATTATAACTCTTTGAACAAAATTCCAATGTTGTCGTCTACCAACTTTTCTCTCTCTAATCTCTTTCCTTTATTTTTCTTAAAGCTCCCACGACACAACACAACCCAAAACAAAAAAAGTATCATAATTATTTGTTCCAATAATGTTACCCTACTCTCCTCTTAGTGCCCATCTCTTTCTAGCTAATCCTTTTGCACTCTACTCCTCCTCATCTTCTTTTTCATTCAAATTATTTATTTTTCTAAACTCATCAATTTTTCTTTTCCGGTTAATTTCATTTTGTCAATAAAATAATAAATAATAATAATAATAATCACAAGAACATAGGGAGGTCGAGATGCATGGAATTGTGTAGATATTGGGCAACACATGGTGACATAGTGATGGACGGGCATATTGCAGCGACTTCAAAGGGTGAGAGAGGTAGAGATAGAGATAGAGATAGAGATAGAGGTAGAGATAGACAGGCCATGTGGTGAAGGAAGCCTACTTCATACTGCCGCTTAAGTGCTTTCAATAAAAAGGCGTCCACCAAAAGGGAACATTCCAGACCCAATTCCAATTATAAACCCATTTCCAAGATTAACACATCCAAAGAATAAAAAAAGAATTTTGGAAACGTAGCATAAAAATATTAAGTTACACGTAGAGATAAATGTTTTTTTTAATTATATTTTGGATTTATTTGGTGTTGGGTATAATAATGAGAGGGGATATCAATAGTGGGGTACATATGGTCAACCTATGTAAGTAGCGAGGTAGAAGGAGCATTTCCATCCAATGCCAAAGATTCGTCTGTCTCTTCATTCTTTGCTTTCATTATTAATCCACGCATCGCCCCACCAGCGGCACCAACCCATTCTCCTCTTCTTAAACCCCATCCCCCTCCACTCTTCAAAATCCCACACCAAAACTTTCTTTACTCATATACCCAGATGGGTTTTGATGATCTTTCTAATACAGGCCTTCTACTGGGTTTGGGATTACCGCTTCCCTCCAATCCCGCTCTTCTTTCTCACAAACCCAAGAAGCCAGTAGATTTATTCTCTTTTCCCGCCCCCGAATCCGAGCCCTCCTTGACTTTGGGCCTTTCCACACCCGAGACTTACCCGGTACCTGCCCCTGAAACGGCTGATTTATGTCGTCAACCCTCGCCTCACAGTGCGATTTCTTCCTTCTCCGGCGGCAGGGTGAAGCGTGAAAGAGATGTTTCCGGTGAAGATATTGAAGAAGAGAAAGCTTGTTCTCGAGTCAGTGATGAAGACGAAGATGGTTCTATTGCTAGAAAAAAGCTTAGGCTAACTAAAGAACAATCTGCCCTCTTGGAGGACAGCTTCAAACTTCATAGCACCCTCAACCCTGTATGTACTCTCCTTCAATTAACTACTTTTTTTCGATTTATTTTATTTTCTACTTAACCTTCTTCTATTCTAATCTAATCTAATCTAATCTAATCTAATCTAAATTTGGGGTTGATGTAATTACAGAAGCAAAAGCAGGCCTTAGCCAGAGAGTTAAATCTCCGGCCTCGACAAGTTGAAGTTTGGTTCCAGAATAGGAGAGCCAGGTAATTAAAATTAATTAAAATTAATCTCTTTCCCCAAAATTAAATTACGCGATTTGGAATCAGATCAAATAAACTAAATCAGGGGAGATTGAATTTGCAGGACGAAGCTGAAGCAAACAGAGGTAGATTGCGAGTTTCTAAAGAGATGCTGCGAAACGCTAACAGACGAAAACAGGAAGCTGCAAAAGGAGCTGCAAGAACTGAAAGCCCTGAAACTAGCGCAGCCCCTGATCATGCAAATGCCGGCGGCGACACTCACCATGTGCCCCTCCTGCGAGCGAACCGGTGGTGGAGCCACCGCCGTTAACGCCGACGGCAATTCCAAGAGCCCATTTTCGATGGCTCTCATGCCCCGGTTTGACAAAGCCTTCACCAAGCCTTCTGCTGCTTGCTAATTAATGAAACACGAAAATCCCCAGAAACCCAGGATTTTTTGGTTGGGGCCTCGTTTAGTTATCTAGTTGGATCTATTAAAAAAAAAAAAAAAATCCAATTAAATTAGTTTAATTTGTAGAAAGAAAACTATAGTACTTACTAATCCAATTATTATGTCTCCTTATTTGATTTCATATGTTTGTACATAAAGTAAATTAATATTATTAATGAAGAAATTATTTCCCTCTCTCCAATTTCATCCGATATTTCCTTTTATTTCTTTGATTTAAAGTGTTATGACGAAGAACAACACTAAAGCAAATCTTATAAAAATTATAACGCGTGATTTTAGTATGATAATTAATGGGTTAGGTCGTATTGGATTTGGATTAGGAAAGACTTGAATTTAAACCTCAATCATATATAATAGTTATTGTCATTGAAGTAGTCAAGCATTCCCATTGCCATTAAGAAAATAAAAAAATAAAAAAAAATAAAATGGAAAAGGAAAGTGTATTTAGTCAAGCGGGGTGGCTTATGAGTAGATATGAAGATTTGATGTGATGATTAAGAGAGAGAAAGAGGCGTGTAAAGTAAGTAATAAATACAAAAATTGACATGGAAAGCAAATATAATAATGCAATATGGAATTAAAGAAAAAGATGATAAATATATTATAGTCACGTGACATGCTTTTGGGCTTTTTTCCCGGCCCACTAACAGATGGCTCTTTTGTGCCACCAGACCCAGCTTCCTGGAAACTTCCGGTTTAGAAATTTGAAGGCGCCACGTAGGAAAGTGACACGAAATACCATTTTTCTGCGTACTCTCAGGTTGAATTCAATGCCATTAATCCTTTACTCATTCTACCCATCTGTCGAATTTCCAAGAACAATCATAAAACTTGCCACCCAAGTTAATATAAACATGGCATGTCATTTTTAGAAAAACGATTTAAATGGGCCATGCTGATATGATCTACGATTGCTTGGTAATTAAGCAACCAAGTGGGATCCTACTACAACTCAAAAGTAAATGCTACTTGGAAGCTAGTGAGATCAAATTTTGATAACAAAAAAAAAATATATATATATAATTTTACTTTTTCTATGATTCATTGGCTTTCGAGCTGGGCCGGGCCTATATACCTCCGAAGCCCAATTGTATTTTTCAAAAGAAAATGTTAATAATAGTTTTATATTAAATATATTGTCAAATGCATTTTCATTGAAATCAATTCAAGTTTCTATTTTGGGATGTTAGCAGACAGCGCCCTAAATTTCTCACCAGACACGGATACAAACTTCAATTACAAGCACTCCCCGCGGCCCACATAATTAAGTTCTTCAGCCAAGGGCATGTTTGGATTCATCCATGAAAACTGCCCAACAATAATGATCAAATTCGGTGTCCTTCTCCCCCCTTCATCATAATTCCCCACACCGAATTAAACATTAATCCGGTAACGCATTCCGGCGGAAGCCACTTCAACGACCACATATCATGTCCTTCAAACGAACCCATTTGTTTCTTTTGGTTGAGGACGAGTTGAATGGCGGTTCCGGCACGGAGTTGACTGTTCTGGTCCTAGGAGTCTTAGAGAAATGTGGCCGGGCGGCGACGGTAACAGATAGTACGAGAAGAGTGACAACAGAGGAAGCAGTTGCTTGTTTCAAGGAGAGGGTACGATGTAGTGGCATCAGTGTGTTAATTTGACAAGGAAGGATGAAAACTGTGGGGCTATAGATAGCTGCATGATGTGCAAATATGAATCACGAGCGACAATTTTTTTTCGTTTGTTTTTTATTAGACATTTGCGCTTGCATTGATGTGTGTACTTTAATATATTCCGAGACATTGATTGGTAGTCCCAGAATCAACAAAGCTTGCATTATAATTTATCATATACATTGAGCTAATTGGATCCAAGGCAATGGATTGAAGCATTTGAAGCTGTGGCATTAGGTGGTTTGAGTTAAAGCAGCGAAACTGAGTCAAAATGATGAAGAGAAAATTATGGGAGTATTGAGTGAATATTAGGTTGTGAACTTGGTGTAAAGGAGGGCCCTTGGAATTAAGTCCAAAGATATGGAGGATATTCTATTCTTATGGACGTCAATATCACTGTCGGTTCCTTTTCCTTTAGAATCAGCTTTGTTAAAAGATTTACAAATTCCCATACCCCAACCGTTTTTCTCAATTCCCCTTTCAACACAAAATTCAATTTGATGTTTGATGCCACAATTATGGCCTATTATGGTTGATTATTATTGTCGTGATGATGTCATTACGGTTGATTATTATACAAAAAAAAAAGTAATAAATAATACCTTCTATTTGTTTTAAGTGACGCTGATTCACAATTGTGGTTGGTGGTCCTGGTTGTCTTCTAGTTGAACATGCCAAACACGTTCCAATATTTTAAGTTAGTATTAAGTCAAAGTGAAATTCATGTATGTCTTTGGAGGTAAGGATGTCTCCTTATCTACACTACTCTTGTAATAGTCTAAGCCTACTATTAGTATCTTGTATTCTTATTTCTATCAACAGTCCAAGTTCTATATCGGTTGGAGTTTGCTAGCGAGGACGTTGAGTTTTCAAGGGAGATGGATCGTGAGATCTCACATCGATTGGAGGGAAAGCCTACTGCTAGTAGTTTATTGTCCGTTTTGGTGTACCATTAATAAATATTGTTCGTTTTAACTTATTACGCATGACCATTAGTCTCATTGTTTTTGAAACGCATCTACGCGATAGAGATTTCTAACCCGACAATTTGAAAATTGAAAATGGAAAGATAAATATACGAAAGGCAAAATTTATAATTTATTGGGCTGTTTCAAGTGTAAAGCCCAAATAATGTAAGGAAAGGAGCAATAATTATAGTTTTGGAGGGAGCAATTGGCAAATGACAAGCAAACTCATAGTTGGGAAAATCCTGTAGTGGGTCTGTTGCTTGGGAAGAAGAAAGGATATGGATATGGCGTGATTAGGTGGGCGAGTTGAGAACAAAATCACAACAATCCCAAAACTTGAATTTTAAACCAACAACCAAAAACAGAAGAGGAGGAAAAGGAAGACCAAATCCCACTCTCACACACCTCCCATTGCGCTGCTCTCACGTCTGGCTATGGAACAACTTGGCAGCATTTAGGAGCATTTGCAAATTTTGCTCTCATCTTTCGGCTCCTTGTTATTTTGATTGCCGCCATTACAATTCCTACTTGCAACTCTCATTCTCACGAATTTTTCTTCCCTCTCACTTCTTAACTCTTATTTTATTCTATTTTCTGTTGGGTTAAAGTGTTTGGAGGGGGGGGCTCTTCTTTCGAGTTCTGAGGGGTTCTGCACTTTTTGGTACTCTCCCTTCTTTCTTGTGTTTCTTTTTCATTTGTCTTCCACGTTCAATCATCTCAAATATCTTTCCCACACTAACACACATATTCAGACCAAATTATATTATATACACGTACCACCGCCGTTGAGACCAAAATCAGAACCTATTCTCTCACCGATTCTGATTTAAAATTCACTTCTCCACCCACTTTCTTCTTTCCTTTCTTTCTGAATATCTGAGCTCTCCATCTCCAGGGACAATTCCCTGTCTCTTTCTCTGTGAGAACAATAGGAAAATGGGGTGTGAGTGTAACAACAATGGCGTCGTCATTGGGCGCAGCAGAATCTTGTGTGCGACTGTTTCTTTTCTCTGTCTTCTGATATTGGCATCGACCCAGATGAGAATCAAGGCTGAAGGTAACTGGGTATCTTTTGGATCTTCAAAACAGAGTCCAAAAACGGACTTTTATTCTTCATCTTACAATTTCAGTTCGATTTGAATCATCTTGTGAATCGTTTTTCTTTGCAGGTAGATCGATTTCAATGAGGACCAAGGTCAGTCCAGAAACCACCGCTCTTCCCTCCCTTTCTCAAATACTTCATTGTTTCTGTGAAAGCTTAGTTAATTGAGAAGAATAATAATTTTGTGTTTCTTTTTTTGTTTTGATGCCTTGGGATAGACAGTGAATGAAGATAAGGAGATATTAAGAGGACAAATTGGATCAAAGCCACCAAAATGTGAGAGAAGATGCAGCTGGTGCGGTCACTGTGAGGCCATTCAAGTTCCTGCAAACCCACAAAAATCAGCAACTAAAAAATCTTCAGCAGTGAAGAACATAGTTTATGCTAGAGATGAAGCCTCCAATTACAAGCCCATGAGCTGGAAATGCAAATGTGGGAGCTTAATCTTCAACCCTTAACTATTTTATATAACCCCCCCTTCAATTTTACTCTCTCTATCTCTCTGTAAATTAATGATTATATGATTGTTAATTTCTTTAACTCAACCACTCTCTCCCCCTCTGTTTCGTTTTGGGACTCTTTAATCTCTACTACAATACGATAAGCAGGCATTAGATGAAGAGCTCTCAACTTGGAACACTTTAGAACTTTCTCTCCAATACATTTCCTAGGTGGATACTCTTCCTTCCTTTTTGTTCTTTCTTTTAACTAAAATGGGAAGGCTACTTAGTCGTCTTGCCATAGCTTTATACTAACTCAAGCATTAGAATGTATCAACCATTTTCCTGTTCAACATAAGCCATAAGCCATAAGCCGTAAGCCAAGATGGTAGTAAAGCCATCAATCTTTCTATTTTATTTGGACAAGACATGACAAGCAGTACTCTCACATCTTTTGAAAAGCCATGAACATATGTTCTGATATCCATGGTAAGGGATTGGACTTCCTCTTGAATGACATTTCAACAAAGAACATATACCAACCAAACCCACAAAAACCAAATTTAAAGTCTATGATCATGTCTTGGAAAAATGCATGCTTTTCAAGGCTTCATGAGCAAACCAGGCAGATAAGATGAGATGAGATGGTTATAAGGGAAATGATATGCATGCTTTGATGTTCCTTTCTAAAACCTTTGCTATGTGTTTGTTTGTATACCTTTCTTGATTCTAAAAATAGCAAATTTGATGTATATATATAGCTGCATAGAATGATTAGAGAACATATTTTGGTTGGCTCTTCAATCAAAATATTCTCTAGATGATGAAAATGAAGGAAGAGAAACAACTCACACAATGCTGTTCATAGGGCCATTGTTTCAAATTTAAAAATTGGGGGAGAAGAAAGAAGAAACATATTGATCAGTGGCATCTTGGCCGTCTCACTATAAGAAAGTACAGAATAAACCTCTTTGTAGACTTGATTTGCCATAAGGAAGGCATGCCTACCCAACTTTATTTCATTTCTTTAGATGGGATATCTTATTTCCTTTTTCAAGACCGAATCATTCCCATTGAAGACAATTTGATCAAATGCTAATATCCTAAAATGTATAGTGTTTCAAGAAGTTAAAAAAGGGTATAAGATCTGCTTTGTCCTGTGCTTTACTATAGCCAATCTCATGCTTGCTGATATACAACCTGAGACTAATTTGATATCAACTTAGAAGACAAAAATTAAAAGGTGATATGAATGCACTTCATTCTCTAATAAGTTAAACACAAACCCATGCACTAATCTCTCACTCTCTCTCACACAGAAAAGAGAATGTCGGTGCTAAAATCGAGAAGGAAAAAGAAAATGCAAAACTGAAAAGCTGGGAATCAGGCTCGTCAACAGTGAAGGGGAACAAAGGATTCTGATTCCACATGGGCTTCTTTCTCAAGCTTTTTTATGCTTTTTCATTGGTACTAAAAGCGTTGAAAACAACCCAACCCAACCCCACTTGTGTACCCCACTTTCCCAGCTGGGCCATACCCATAATCCTTCTCCCCCACGGCCACAACTGATATTGCCATGATTCTCATCTCATAAATGAAATGAGTCACTTTCCCAATCAGATACCGTATATTGCTATCTTCCTTGGCTTCTTCTTCCACATATTTTACAAAAAAGAAAGCCTTCAGTCAGATTGCCCAAAACTTGGCCACTGCACTGCACATGGCGCTTCTTCTGCTGAACCCCCTCTCCTTTTGAGCAGTTGCTTTCTTCTCTGAAGACAAGGACATTTAATGGATATTGCTACACAGTACCTGCATGTTTCAAACAATAATGCAGTCTCAATTAAAGACCAAGCACACACACCCACCCACCATTTCAAACCCCCACCCACTGGTTTCTTCTAACTTTCTATTATGTATTGATTCTGTCTGGAGCAAGAAGATTTTCACAGCTTGTTTCAAGGTCTCCAGGGTCCTGCTGGCTCATGATGATATTGCTATCAGAGGTACTAGTTTTCATATCTAAATGAAAACTTCCATTTCGTAGAAGAAAATAAAATAGTATCAAGGATGCATAAAGTTCCAAGTCGGAGTAAATTTGATGCTGTACAGAATAAGTTGTACACTGCTCGTGAATAAAGAGGTTTTGTTGACATCTTCACTTATAAACATAAAAAAGAACGCAGTACCAAGACAACTGTATTGGTGTTAGCAAACTGTTAGCGGAACACTAAAACATTCACTTATTTTATTGTCCTCATTTGTGTACAACCAAACAGTGAAAGTCCAATACAGAATAGAGGAGACGAAACTGCGCCTCCTGGGCCTCCCACGCAGTCTCAACTGGGCAAGTAGGTTGAACTTCATAGACATGGCCATTCAATCACTTCTTGCTCTTATCCGCATGGAAATCTGAAATTTCAATCTACCACACCCATGTTCATATTCGCTACAGCACGCCTAGAAGCCAGGATCTCTTCCATTTTTTTTGGGGGGGAGGGGTGGGGGGGCTTCCTGCAGAGTGGCTAGCCCCTTGACCATAGAACGCTTCACTGTTTCAAGTTCCCCAGGGCAAAGAACCTTTTCCTTGATGAGAAAGTCAGACCAACAAGAAAAGGTTGCACCTTTGCATGAACAAACTTTCAGGCAATAGCAAACCCAGAAGGAATAAGTCCAACAAAGTTCCACTTCATTTTGGAAATCAGAAGACATGGACTTGGGATGTTCATTCTAGAACACATAATTGTAGAAATAGATGTATATCCTAGCACGTGTGGATTCATGACAACCAACAATACTGCAACAAATGAATAAATAAATAATTTTTAAAAAAATGATCTTCTGAAAGAGTTCTCTTTAGAATCTCCTTATTGGTTTTGTACCTAGAAAGTTTCACTGCATTTTAAACAGCAGAAGACGTGGATTTAGGATGTTAGTTTTTTTGTGGAAGATTTAGAATGTTAATTTTATAACATATAATCAGAGAAGCATGCATAAAATCCAAACGTGTAAGATCATCATAGCTATCAATGACCGCGCACAGAATTTTCAACTGATTTATCCTAAAAAGCTATAGTAAAGGCTTAATACAGTCTACCTGCAGCACCTAAGAAAGATCATCCGTCCCGTGCACCTAAGAAAGCCATGGGAGTGAAGGTCTGCAACTGCAAGAAGTTGAAATTGAATGAAAGAATAACCTTGTGGAAGCAAGTGCTTACATAAATAAAGAGAGTCCTAATCTAGAAGAGGCAATATTAATGATGGTATAGCCAGGGTCTTCTTGATCCAGAGTGTCACTGTAGATGGCGACAAAACTGCACTGGCCATTTTACTTGCATAAAGTTGCTGTTCATACAAAAACTTCACGGTCCAGACGTATCAGGTTAAGAATGAGAATTGTATAACTGTCTAGGTGTCATGGTCTTAAAAACTATAAGGATTTTCACTAGCCTTTTACCCCAATAAACGTTGCTCCATGAGACTAAACTATTCATCTACTTAAGGCGGGTACCATCACACCCATTCATCTTGCATTGGTAGAAGTGGAACCATGAGTCTAAAATTAATCTGAACATCATATCTATGAAACCTAAGCCAATTGAAGGCTATTCCTTTGTCTAAAGGATGATTTCATAACCATTCTTGTATTCTTGATTAAGAAATTTCTGTAATCTTAGTCAGCTGGGAGTGAGACGAGAGGATGTCTCATCGTCTTTAATAAAAAGTTGTGCGCCTTACAAAAAAAACTTGTGAATGAAATGTAATCTGCTATATAACAGTAAAAAAGGAAGAGAAACCATAAATTCATACCTATTCAACCAAAAAGAAGGGAGAAGAAAATAAAAGGCATTTAGCTAAATTGTCCTTTGATGAATCAGGTAGAACAAAAAGTAAAGAGACAAAGATTAAGAACTTAAATAAAATCGTTAACCTTCTTAAGAATGCATTTGTTAGATTCAGAGCCCCAATACTCTTCAGGCTCACATTCCACTTCTCCCCAAGAGCCTGAGCCGCATCAGTATGGAAGGGAACATTGAATTCCTTGCAAATTTTCCCAATTTCCTCTAACGGCTGGATGACACCAATTTTATTATTAACCGCCATGACCGAAACAAGGCCAGTGTCGGGTCTAATCGCAGAACGGAGCTTCTCCAAATCAACAATTCCATCGGACCCAACCGGTAAATAGGTAATATCAAAACCCACCTGCTGCAAATGTCTGCAGGAATCAAGAACGCACTTGTGCTCCGTCTGAGTGGTAATCAAGTGTCTTTTTCTTCTCTCTGTAGAAATTCATGAGCCCCTTGATGGATATGTTATTGGACTCGGTAGCTCCAGAGGTAAACACAATCTCCTTAGGCGAGGCACCAATAAGAGCACTCGACGGCATGATCCGATTCCCAACCATAGAGATGCGTCCGATAGTGGTGGATTACCACATCGAGAGAGATAATAAGGAAGCCTAGCATCGAGCACCCGAGGGTCAGCAGGGGATGTAGCTTGCATATCAAGATAAAGCGGTCGTCCAGAGATTTTGACACCTTTCATAGAAATCCCAGTCTCATCCTCATGGGGTTCCGACATTGGAGAGAGGCCGGAAGCGGGAGACGGCGGAAGAGACATTTGTGCGGGCGAGGCGTAGGCTGGATGCAAGAATCTTGGACGCCATTGAAAGATTCTTTAGTTCAGCCGGTATGACTTATAATTATCATTGATCAAGTAATCAAAGTTTTAATCTTTTTAAGGAGATGATGAAAGTTTAATTTCAACTTTATAAGTTGAATATATGATTATATTAACAGGCTAAGTACACCACATGAAGCCGTGCTATAATTTTGCCGGTTTTCGGGTTCCACACATGAGGTGAAGAAATTTTAGCCTTAATATATTTTCGTAAATTATTCACATTACCCAATAACTTTGATAATTGAAATATAGCTAAATAGATAATAAAGTTAAAAAATTATAAAATTATATTAAAAAAAAAAACAAAATAGTTCGGAGGAAACTTTTTGATTGATGGCGCAACGTGATTGAGCTGATTATGCGGTGGCGTATAAATACCCAAACTCCATTGAACGAGAAATTCATCAGATCCAAAATTTAACTTCTTATTTCTGCGAGGAAATTTGCATGAACTCCGGTTGAACTTGCGTAGAATTGCAAATCTTTTCTCTCATTTTTCATTGCATTTACCAACACCATTGACAGCGTTCTGATCCGCCCAGAGTTTCCAGGTTCTTTTTCGTTCTCTTTTTCTTTCTGCTTCGCTCTTCAGTGTTCTTTCCATTCAAGTTAATAGGTGGAGTTATACGATCTTGCTTTCTCTTTTGGAAGGAGCATTTATAGATCTGTCTTATTTTCCAACCCAAAGTACCTTCCAGTTGTTTCATTTGTTCTCTGTATTTATTATTTATCGATTTCGATCTCTAAAGAGTAGGTTGCTGAAGATTTAGGATAGGAGAAATTGAACTTATTGTAGAATATGGAATGTGATTGATCAAACTGCAAACTGCATTTTCTTTTCCAGGAAATCCTACCGTTTTTCCTATTCATAAATAACAATTAAGATAATGTGTAAAGAATAGAATACGTCTGTGATAATTTTCTGGAAACTGGGAATATGAATTTATTACGATCTTTATGCTAGAATCTGAATCTGGCACTCATTTCAGCAATGGTTAGCGTTTTGGTTGTATATTTATTTGTATGGTGGATATTTATTGATTAAATGATGGTCATTGAATTTTCTTGGTTGGCAGATCAAGAGTATTGGAGTTCATAATGTTCAGGTCATCCCCTCGAAGGAATCAGAGATCCAAAGGCTTCAAGGTAAAACGTGCTTTACAAATATTTCTTTTGCTCGGGGTTTGCGTCTGGCTCGTTTACCAAGTTCAGCATTCTCGCGGTAAGAAAGCTACTTTCGATGAGAGCACAAAACGTGATAATGTTGTGAAACTAGGGAGAAAGGACCTCCATCCTCGAGTCGATGAAAACTTCATGAGTGATGAGAGCCATAAAGAGGTCGAAGAAGACACCAGGAATGATCTGGAAAAGGGTGCGTCTGAAAGTGACAGTGAAGAAAAGGGTGGTGGGAATGATGAGTTTCATGATCAACAAGAAGTTCGGGAGGAAAGTGACAATAAAGATTTTGTGGTGGATATGGAGAAAGAGAGAGAGGAGATCAGTGAGGTTAGCAAAGAGACAGAAATTGAAGAGAACAAAGATGCGGAAAACGAAAACAAAGGAAATGAAGAGATTAAAAAGGGAGAAACTGATGATAAGGAAAACGGGGAGACTGAAAAGAGTCAAAGTGAAGAGATGGGTAGAAGGGGAGGAAGCGAAGATAATGGAAATGAAGAAAGCAAAGAAAAGGAAAATCCAGTAGAGAATGGAAATGAAGAAAGCAAAGAAAAGGAAAATCCAGAAGAGAATGGAAATGAAGAGAGCAAAGGACAGGACAATCGAGAGGAGAATGGAAGGGAAGAAAGCAAAGGACAGGACAATCAAGTGAATGGAAACGAAGAAAGCAAAGAGCAGGAAAATCAACAAGTGAATGGAAACGAAGAAAGCAAAGAGCAGGAAAATCAACAAGTGAATGGAAACGAAGAAAGCAAAGAGCAGGAAAATCAACGAAAGCAAAGAGCAGGAAAATCAACAAGTGAATGGAAACGAAGAAAGCAAAGAGCAGGAAAATCAACAAGTGAATGGAAACGAAGAAAGCACAAGTGAATGGAAACGAAGAAAGCAAAGAGCAGGAAAATCAACAAGTGAATGGAAACGAAGAAAGCAGAGAGCAGGAAAATCAACAAGTGAATGGAAACGAAGAAAGCAAAGAGCAGGAAAATCAACAAGTGAATGGAAACGAAGAAAGCAAAGAGCAGGAAAATCAACAAGTGAATGGAAACGAAGAAAGCAAAGAGCAGGAAAATCAACAAGTGAATGGAAACGAAGAAAGCAAAGAGCAGGAAAATCAACAAGTGAATGGAAACGAAGAAAGCAAAGGCCAGGAAAATCAGGAAGTGAATGGAAACGAAGAAAGCAAAGAGCAGGAAAATCAAGAAGTGAGTGGAAATGAAGAAAGCAAAGAGCAGGAAAATCAAGAGGTGAATGGAAAGGAAGAAAGCAAAGAGCAGGAAAATCAAGAAGTGAATGGAAACGAGGAAAGCAAACGCCAGGAAAATCAAGAAGTGAATGGAAACGAAGAAAACAAAGGCCAGGAAAATCAAGAAGTGAATGGAAACGAAGAAAGCAAAGGCCAGGAAAATCAAGAAGTGAATGGAAACGAAGAAAGCAAAGGCCAGGAAAATCAACAAGTGAATGGAAACGAAGAAAGCAAAGGCCAGGAAAATCAACAAGTGAATGGAAAGGAAGAAAGCAAAGAGCAGGAAATTCAAGAAGTGAATGGAAAGGAAGAAAACAAAGAACAGGAAATTCAAGGAGTGAATGGAAACGAAGAAAACAAAGAACAGGAAATTCAAGGAGTGAATGGAAACGAAGAAAACAAAGAACAGGAAAATCAAGGAGTGAATAGAAACGAAGAAAACAAAGAACAGGAAAATCAAGGAGTGAATGGAAACGAAGAAAACAAAGGCCAGGAAAATCAAGAAGAGAATGGAAAGGAAGAAGGCAAATCGAAGGAGAATCAAGAAGAGAATGGAAAGGAAGAAAGCAAAATGAAAGAAAACCAAGAAGAAAATGAAGGTAAAGATAAGGTAAATGAGATGCCGACAGAAGACATCAAACAAAATAAAAACGAGGAGAGAAGCCAGAGTAAAGAGATTGAAACCGAAGACAAGAATGGAGAAAACAAAGAAAAGGAAAAACAAGAAGAGAGGGGAAGTGAAGAGACTGAGAAAAAAGAAAGCAATGATGGAGGAGATAGGGAGAAGGAGAATGGTGCCAATGAGAAGGAAGAGACCAAGGAGAAGTATAGAGAGGATGTTGATGTAGAAACCAAAGAAGGCAGCAGTGAGACCAAGGAAGGTTCTAAGGGTACCATGGGAGGCAATGGTAGCGACAACAAGGAGAACAATGAAAACGATACAGACAAGCAAGAACAAAAGGAAGGTAATATTAAGGGTGTAGTTTCAGCTGAAGCACAGATTCAAGATGGGAGTGAGAGGAATAATGGCGATGCAAGAGAAGCACAATACAAAGGTGATAATGCTTCCATTGCTGAAAATGGGCAGGATGGTTTTGCAAAATTAAATGAGGTAGAGTCCGTTGAAAATAAAGAAAACCATGAGTTTCAGCATGAGGATGCAAGGAAGAGTAGCGAAGCTGTTGGTTCTGATAAAAATGAGTCAGTCCAAAATGAAAGTGAAGCTGGAAGTAATGGAAACAACCAATCTGATGTACCAGACAAAGTGACGAATAACAATGAAGAGCAGCCAGTGTCCGAGTATAAAGACCAGCACCAGGATGATTCGATTGCTTCGAATGAGAAAACTTCTGATACAATTACAACAAATGAAACTGCAAACAACATCAATCTCGATCAAGATAATTCAACTTCAAAGCATATCGCACTTGAAGAAAAAAATAATTTTAACACATCTCTCAGCGGTGAACAAAAAGATTCAAGTCCATCAAATTCAACTTCCTTTGATAATACAGATACTTCAAATGAAGAATCCAAAGAGTCGAATACTTCTGAGCCTGATCAATCAGATCATACGAGCCACGATGAATATGAAAATGCTGGTCATAGCAACTCAAATGATGATTCTTCTGGTCAAAAGAATGACCATGCTAATGCTTCAGATATGTCGAACCCCCAAGAGAATGATGCATCCTCAAACACTATTGAAGGTACTGGTGCTGGGCAGAATGACAATGAGAACGTTGATCAAAGCAATGGAAACTATAATGATCAGCCAAAAGAACAATTTGATTCTCACAATGAGGGTATCACATTTTCTGACACGAACAACAGTGAGGATAAGGTTAATGCCGAAGATTCTTCAGGATTTTCTTTGCCTCAGGAAGAGAAGGATGCTCGTACAGATTTGGATACCTTACCCGAGAGCAAAACGGAAGGGAATAACAAGGATGAAACAGCTACAGAGTGACATCTTATATTCTCTCATCTGGATTTTTCGTCATTTTGTTTGTTTTCTTTTTCATAAGGATCTTTTTTGTTTCTGGTTCTCTGCAGCAATACGTCCTTTAAGTGAATATATACACACACACGCATATGTCTCTTTTTTGGCTTTGCTGCTGGAAGAGTTTTGAAAGCTAGGATGATTTCTTTTTCGCATTTGATGCTTCATATTAGTTCATGAGGTGGTCTTTTGTGCGTCAAATTTAGTATATACATTTTTAATCTTCTTTATCTTCCATAATGTTTGATGGTAGACACCTATCGATATCAGTTTTCTCCTGTCATATGCATTTCTATATTTAATAGAAGAATTTATCTCGATTCCTTTTGTCTCCATCAACTGAAAAGATTTCACTGATGAGGTGTGTAGAGGTTGCACTTTTGAGGTGCAAAACAACTGCCCTCTACCTTAAACTGAAGCTAAGTTCCAACTTAATGCGTTGGGGAAATGGACAGGCTGCCCTGCCGTCCAGAGAGAAACAGAGAGAGCTAGACTTCTCGTTAGTTATTAGATGCAATCTCTGCCTTGGATGTATGTTTTCTCAATCATAAGATTCGAGGCCTCTGTTAGCCATTTAGATTATTATTTTTTATTTATTATTCAATTGTGCCAACAAATGTTTATGCATTTGGAGCCAAACCCACATGCATCTTGAAGAAGACGCAGAGCAGAAGCAATAGAATTTATGTACGACTTTCAAGATTCAATATAACTTATATCCCTTCCTCTTTTCTTCCTTGCGAAGCCACTCGAAAACTTCTTACAATTGTTATACGCTACTGACATACAAACAAGTAGGCTAATATTTCAAATGCCTATTGGAACTCACTACCATCCTTTAGAATTTGGTAAAAGAACCAAATACCTCATGGCGCATCCACCAACTTTGTAAGGCATCGTCTTCGTGTTTGACTTGCCTTATGCTCTACTTTTACACATTCCGTTATTGATCGCCACAACTCAAACCATGCGTCTATCACCTTTGATAATGCAGTTAGGAATTTATTGTGGGTGTCTGTGAAGTTGCTAAGTGTATTGTTTGGTTGAAGATTCAAATTTGGTAGCACAACTTCCTACTTTTTATCTTTCTTTGTTTCCGAACTTGGATTGCAACTTTGTTTAACTCTGTTAACTAACCACTCAAAGTGTTCCCGTCATTTATTCAATTTTTTATTTTTCAATAAAAGTAAAATGTTTATTTACATATTTTCAAACATTAAATCAAGTTTTGCAATTTAATGTGTATTTCAAAAAGTTACATCCCAGAACTCAAAATTTAATTTATAAAGGTTGTTAAAGAATAAAAAAGCAAAAAGATAATTATTTAATTTAATAAAATAAAAATGAATCTACCAAATATAATTGTATCTTAACAAAATATATATACAGTTTTCTAACTTAACAATATATTTAAATTAATTCAATTCAACCAAACTAATTTTAAAACAAGCTAGGAACCAAATAATACTAATTAAGTTAATAATACAAACTAACTAAGTTAATAATACAAACTCGTCGGTTAGATTAGGTTGATTGAGTTTTTTGATCGCGATTTTTATGAACAACCCTACCCTTGATCTTAATTAAAAAGTTGTTAGGTTAGGAATCTCATAATTCATTTAATCAGTTACACATAATTGTCCTGCAAAAAACAAAAAGCAACCAAGAAATTAATTGCAAATATCTTGAGAGTCAAATTAAATTAGAAACTTTAGGTCAAAGCAAAACTAGTAACAAAGTCAAAACTAAAAAATATAAATAATTAAAAAGAATTTCTCATATTTGCATATATAGCAACCGTTAGAATTTTGTGAATACGACAACATTTTAATCTGAATTTTTTTTAATATATTTTAGTTATTATAATTGACAAAAATTTGTATTCATTCAATAAAACTACCCTCAACCTTCAATAAAATGAAAGTCATATATTACCATTAATATCCCCTTTTGGACCGACGCGTAAGAGAGGGTCCAATCCTTGACCGATTCCTGGGCTTTTTCTTTCACAAGGGTCGGTTTTGGACCCCCACTTTTACGCCATTTTTTCTCCGTCAACGTAGCAGGTGGATACCGACGACTCCTCAGTCGCCGCCGTTGATCAGACCACCGCCGTCAACGGACCATTTCGCATAGATGGAGGAGAAAGAATGATATGTGAACATTTAGTAATCAGAATAAACAAAGAATGGAATGAAATATGAAATGGGCGATATCAAAATTGGAGCTTTATTGATGAAAAAGAAAAAGAATTGTGTATTTATTTACAGGAGATGAATAATGAGAAGGGGGTGTTTCATGTGTAGGTTTGGTTGAGGTGGAGGGGCTAATAACTAAAAAGAGAACAGGGCAAAAAGTAGTTACAAGATTAAATTTCGATGTGGAGTAAAGTAAAATGGGGACATGTTATGGTGGTTGGTGGCGCTGCGGGATTTGGCTTTTTTCTTGCGTTCCACTTGGGGGACTTTGGTTGGGCGATGATGAAGAAGATTGATTTCAAATGTTGGTTCTTCTTCTTCTTCTTCTTCTTCTTGAGGAATAACAATGGCGGAATTGGAATTGGAATTGGAAATGTCTTCGAGACCCAGAGAGTACATCACATCGTCCCTGCTCCATCCCCCACTCAGTAAAATCTCACATACTGATACTTTGAGTTTCTCGATGGCCGCCCGACTCTGTTCTAAGCTCCGATCATGGCCGTCCATCATCATCATATCTCTGATATCTTCTTCCCTCCACCCGCCCTGTCGCAACTTCCACAACACGTCCTCAAGGCATCCGTCCAACCCCATTTCAAATTCCCCTTCATTCCACCATCCTAGTGTTACCCCACGCCCCGCCACATTTTTTCCCGAAGCCACTTCAGTCCAGAAATCCACCGCTCTGGCCTCCGTCGCCGCCCAAGCCGGCGAGTCGATCATTGAACGGTCTGTTTCAGCCTCACTAAGTTGAGAATATTCATGGGTTTGAAAGAATCCGGCTAAATCGAAGCTGGAAACACGAATCTCCCCACCGTCGAGGTGAAATACAGGGTTCCCGGCCATGTTCGGCTCGGAAGGGATGTAACAGTTTTTGTAAATGGGGACAAGAACAGGGGCTCTGTCCAAGAGTTGCTGGGCTAGAGCAACGGCGTCATTTGGGTCATTGGGTTGAGTACCCCAAGATTGACACCAGAATTTTCTCTGAGAAATTTCCTTGAGGAGGCAAAGCCGGGGGAGATTGATCAGAATGTGAAGCTGTTGAATGGAGGAGGATCTCCAATTGGGGAAACCAGAGCCAATTGGGAGACCCTCTTGGAGGATTGAACGGAGGTCCGGTGGGAAGGAGAATTGGAAGGTGGACTCGACGGATGTAAATTCAGTGTCCGAGAGGCCGGGGAGGACCGGAATTTGAAGGGATTTGAGATGGTCGATGACGGCTTTGGCATAGGCAGCGAAGGAGAAACATGCGAGTCTTGGCCGGGAGGGCTTGTCGGTGGCGGTGGCGGTGGCCGCGGCCATTAGAGAGAGCACAAACAAGTTAGTAAATGTAGGGCTATTGTAGAGATTGGGAGGTTCGTACTTTGAGGAGAGGCATGGAGTTCGCCAAACAGAATGGAGCGAGAAAGGCGTCGGATTTATAAGATGGCAAGTTCTTATGAATTATGAATTATGACATGAGAGAGAGAGAGAGAGCGAGAGAGAGTCCTATTCTGACTCTCCTAAACGCATAGAAGTCGGTAGTATGACATGAATGGTAGGGCTGCGTTACGGATTCCTTTTTTAAGCCCACAAAAAGTGGGTTGGGTTTTCTTCTGACGTACGATGATCTCAGGCTCAGGTGCTTCTTTTTTAACCTCACAATTTTGAATACAAGTCCACATATTCTATTTCTCTCTCTATAAAATACTTGTGTTCTTCTTTGTTGACGAACCAATGGGGCTTTACCAAACCAAGAACCAGAAATATTTTATATTTTTGGTATTTTAGAATATGGGTATACATCAAAATTCCATTTTTCAAAATGGGAAAGGATAAAGGTTCCATTTTTCAAATTGCCTAAAGTTTTCACCTTTTTATTTTCTTCCTGGTCCATACGGCTTTAGCAAACTAAGAAAGAGAGGTTTGATGTTCTTTCTTCCCCGATAGATATTGTCTTAGTTTTACTTGTTCAAGCATTTCCTCAAAATTTTTAAGATGTGTCTACATTAGAGAGCGTCTAGCTACACCTTGATGAGTGTTTGGTGACAAGTTTTGATATCATTTGTAACAGCCCAAATCCAAACTCACAGTCTGTCATGTATCCAATTCACAATTCACCCCTTTAGGGGCATTGTCAAATAAGATAACTTCCCTTTCTATTCTACAACTTGGGTATCTATTCAAAGTTTCCTTTTCTAAAAAAGCTACTCCTTCCCAATTCAAACCCCTTATTTGGATTTGATGCCATACATATCAACCACAGGTTTCTAGAGTGAGTTCTCCAACCATGGGAGCGTGGTCAGCAAGGTGGGACCTAAATGCGGGGTTGGACATGGCTTATGAAAGACTTTAGAGCAGGACAAAATGAGGGGTTCATTCCAATTCCCAAACATTTCATCCACCATTCATTAGGCTTACAATTATTTTTAAATCATCGGAGTTTCCTTCGTTCAGGATTTCATTAAATTATCCGTCGTCATCTTCTATGTAAAATGATTCCAGTAAAGATTCTTCCGCCGTATCCGATCACAGACACTAGATCTTGACAACTTATTTTTTCCAGAATTTATGTTCTTACGAAAATGATCAAACAATTTTTTATGATACTGCCAAAGCTTCGCGGTAATGTTTCTTCCCATCTGTCCAGAATGTATGCCACTGCACCCTCAATTTTACTCATAACTTTGCCATTTTTATGTAATAAATTGAATCTTTGTCATTAATTCAGAAGAAATAACAAGTCAACACAGACAAAGTATGAATATACACGATTTTTCTGTATAAGAAATTTGGGTCAAAGTCGTACCATGTTGAGCAAGCTGAATGCATTCTTCCCTTGTACAAAACTTTGGTCAAACCGTATCCATCAAGTGGCAGTAGCTTGCCAAATGGAGAAGAATTATCCAGTGCCAGTTTCATTTGAGAACTACCTGATATTGAAGGTAGAACAGGAGCATTTGATCATTTAGAACTTACTTTCAACACCAGGAGGGGCCATTTTGTGTTTCAATCTCTTCAGCTCCTGAGCTGAATTCATCTGCCATTTCTTTGTTCTCCTTTTTGTTTCCTACTACGGGGAATCCTGATTCGGCTGCTTCGACCTCATCTTCAAAGTTCCACCTAGTTATTCCTTGTCTGCTAACATTTCCATTGGTGTAGATTGTTGGGGAGGCTATACTCAAGTCATTTAGTTTGGAGTCTCCACAGATGATTCCTGAAAACCATATGAAATTTTCTTTACATGTATTAGTATAACCGACATCGATATTTTTCGAGGAACCATTGGTATGGTGAGACAGAATTAAGCAAGTGCTTTTTGAACTGTGCTTACCTTCATAATTGGATTTCAATGATGATGGTGACTTGAATTCAATTCCACATGACTGAATGTCAGGGAATTGCTGAAGATCTTGATTGCCAAAGGAGATAGGCATCTTGAGAGTGCCCTCATCAATCTCCATGATCCCGATGGTAGTTGAAATGCCTTCATTCTTGTCTTGCTCTGTGATGTCAAGGGGAGTAAAATTCTTATGCGTATCATCCACCTTATTCAAGCTATCTTTTCCAAGAAGAGTTGGTTTTACTTCTCCTACTTTTGTCCCTCCTACTGCTGGCTTTCGTGCTCGCGTCCGGGATTGTGAACCTACAGGGGCTATTGCTCGTTTCGACCTTCCTCGCTTTGAGGGCTGTCCCCTCACTGTAATGCCACCATTTCCAACTTCCACAGCAGGCTCATTGGTAGCTACTGATCTTAAAGGTGAAATTTCAGCTTCAAGCTTAATCAAGCGGCCCTTGCAGTCCGCTAATTCCCCTTGCAACTGTCCTATCATACTCCACAATTGAACATTTTCTGCTGACTGCATCAAATAGAAAAAAAAAAGAAAAAAAAAGGAAGCATTACAATAACATATGAAACATCACATAAACGGGAAAGAACTGCCATGTCAAACCTGAGCTTCCCAAAGTCTTTGATGCTTCTGAGAAAGCCTTTCGGGGGGCTTGATGACACCTCTTAAAAGGGGTTGTCCAGAGGAAGATGTTACACAATTAGGAATCGGCATCGGGCAAGATTGAGAAGAGGCAAGACCATACGATGCTCTTGGATAATTGGACAATCCAGGGAACAGTAATGGTGGTGTTTGACCCCACCAAATTGAAGCATCCCAGGAACCTGTTATTAAGTTCAAACCCAAATTTCAAAAAACTTGAACTGATTACTAGGGAAGGACATTCAATCACAAGGTTTGAAAAAATAAACACCCACAAATTTGGTAAACAACAGAACTTATTGATCGAATAAATAACCTCGACAGAATTACAAAACCAAACAGTTCTGAAAGTGAAACTCACCTTGAAACCCAGGGTATGTTGGATAACCAACAGGGTAACAGAAATTAGGAGCTTGGGGTTGACATCTCGGCGAGGCTCCAGCGCCAAACGCCGCCGGAGTTTGCCAGCTACCTTCAGTTGCTCCAAGGGAAATGCTCGGCTGCGGTTGTACCCAAAAGGGTTGTGATGAAAGGACAAACTGCTGTGGCTGCGGGATGAGCTGGTGCTGAAGTTTGGGCAGATTTTCGGGTGGCTGGAGCCGCTCATTCACGGCGGCAGGGGCGGCTGGCAATGAAGATTTTTCCCCTGCATGTCGAGGGTTGAGTGCCCTTTGAAGAAGCTCAGTGTACTGCTGATTTTGGGGTGCTGCATTCTCTAAAAACTGGCATCCAGATTTGACGTTTTTTGCTGAATCTGTCCCATCAAATACGCTTTTTTCATTCTTGCGCTGTAGCAACAGTGGTATTTCTAATTAGCATAATGCGATCTCTATATACAAGAACAAATCAAACACAAAAGATCGAAAAAGAAAAGCGAAACCCCACAAACTTTCACTATTCCCATGGCTTTTCTAGAGAGGGTCGGGCTGATGAAATCAATCAAAAGGGGCTCGGAGGAATGAGAAAACGACCGAGAACATCGAAACCCATTTCAGAAAAATGAAGGAAAAATAGGAAGAAACATACGGAAACTCCATTGGGGTGGTGTTGAAGATTGGCGGTAGAAGCAAACTTGAGTTCATCTTCCTTTTCCATCGCATCGAAAATGAAAACAGCTAGTGGGAGTTGAGAATCTAAAAGGTAAAGCAAGTTCTTTAGCTTTAAGCAAGGCCTATAAGCTTCCTATACGAATGCCTAATGCCATCACTTGAACTGAATTAAAAAAGGAATATGCGAAGGGCTGGAAAGAGAAAGAGAGACGGAAGCAATTAAAGTTCGAGGTTACTGAGAGAAGAACGTGAAGGGAATATATTACAGAATTTCCATCTCTTTCTGCTTTTTTTTCATTTGGTGGTGATTGCACCAGATTACTTTATGGTTATAATAATAATGCAAGTTCAAATAAAGATGGAAATGGAGTGAATTAAATTGTATTTTGGAAACAAAAATGGTATAGACTAGATAGACGCAGAGGCACGGGATGCATTGAATTGCTGACCCGTTCCAAGTGAATGGCACCTGAAAAAGAAATGTGCGGCTTTCTATGAGGTGTCGTTCTTTTTGTCTCATCTTCCAGAAACTTTTAACCTTAAAAACCTATTCACAATAAATTGAAATATATTGGTACCCACACGAAAAAGGGAATATTATTGGAAAACAGAAGTGAGAAGATCTAAGTGGCGTGGAAATTAACGTATTTGCCTCGAGGACCGCCTGGTCAAACTTCCAGTTAACATAGCTTTCCCAAACAAAAACAAGAGTGTCGGAATTATTTGTAAAGCAAACTATGATTTGCCGTGAAAAAACATATCATCAATGCAAGAAATGAAAGGCACTCACTCAGTTTTGTAGTAAAGCTTTTATTCATACAACCACTGGTAAAGTAGGCTTATAAATAAGCAGCAGCAACACAGCCGATGAGCTGCATCAACAACTCGTGAGGACACATTTGCAAATATAGTCAACCGCAAAGTGAAGCACATAATAGCACCAGCACATATGCAAACTTCTTTCAAACTTAGTTTAGTAGTCTTCTCCCTCCTCATCTTCATCGTCCCCAGCCTCAGCACCCACCTCCTCATAGTCCTTCTCCAAGGCAGCAAGGTCCTCCCTGGCTTCAGAGAACTCACCTTCTTCCATACCCTCACCCACATACCAGTGTACGAAAGCCCTCTTTGCATACATGAGATCAAATTTGTGGTCAATGCGAGAGAAGACCTCGGCAACACTTGTGGAGTTGGAGATCATGCATACAGCTCTCTGAACCCTGGCCAAATCCCCCCCTGGAACAACAGTTGGTGGCTGGTAGTTGATACCGCACTTGAATCCTGTTGGGCACCAGTCAACAAATTGGATGGTTCGTTTGGTCTTTATGGTAGCCACCGCTGCGTTGACATCCTTTGGAACCACATCGCCTCTGTACATCAAACAGCAGGCCATATATTTTCCATGGCGGGGGTCACACTTGGCCATCATGGATGAGGGCTCAAATGCACTGTTGGTGATCTCCGCAACAGAGAGTTGCTCATGGTAGGCCTTCTCGGCTGAAATCACAGGAGCATATGATGAAAGCATGAAATGAATCCTAGGGTATGGGACCAGATTTGTCTGGAATTCAGTTACGTCCACATTCAGTGCACCATCAAACCTCAGAGATGCAGTCAGAGATGAAATCACCTGGAAATTTAACATTATATAAATATTTAGAAAATCGATTACCCATAATTTAGATATAAAAATAAAAGATCAGGAAATGTTCCAAACGGGGGTGTGGGTGGGTAGGAATGGATGAAATGTGTACTTGAGATATCAAGCGGTTGAGGTTCTGGTAGGTCGGGCGATCAATGTCAAGGGAGCGCCTACAGATATCATAGATGGCCTCGTTATCAAGGAGCACTGCAACATCGGTGTGCTCCAAGAGCGAATGGGTTGAAAGGACACTGTTGTAGGGCTCAACTACAGATGTTGACACCTGCGGTGAGGGATAAACAGTAAATCCAAGCTTGGATTTCTTTCCATAGTCCACGGAAAGACGTTCCAGTAGAAGGGATCCAAGACCAGAACCCGTTCCTCCACCAACAGCATTGAAAACGAGGAAACCTTGAAGACCAGTACAGTTGTCCGCAAGCTTTCTTATACGATCCAAGCAGAGATCAACAATCTCTTTACCAACTGTAATAGAAAAGGAGAAATGTGTTAAAACAGGGGACAGTTAACAGGAATTAACTTACAAAAAAAAAAAAGAATTACTCGTATAGTGGCCACGAGCAAAATTGTTCGCTGCATCTTCCTTGCCACTAATGAGCTGTTCAGGGTGGAAGAGTTGGCGGTACGTCCCAGTCCTGACTTCATCAATGACTGTTGGCTCAAGATCTACAAAAACAGCACGAGGTACATGTTTTCCAGCACCAGTCTCACTGAAGAAAGTGTTGAAGGCGTCATCACCCCCACCAACTGTCTTGTCGCTAGGCATCTGTCCATCGGGCTGCAAGGGAGACAGGTAAGAGACATTCAGATTTCAGTAGTACACATTTGCAAGTTTCATAGTAATTTACATTTCACAACTATAAATGGAAATAGAGACACGTTTACAGATCAGATCAACACTTTCACACCCCCACCAATTCACAGTGATTTACATTTCCTTAGAATGATGCTCGTAAATCACATGAAAAATACTATTCGTCAGAAATACAAGAAAATTTGCATGGCCAATATTATAAATTAAAACGCAGAACTATTATGTGAAGAAAAAAAAATCCTATTCATTAAGCAGAACATGCTACACTAATTCCCAAGTTCAATAAAGTATTTGCGTTCTCCGTGTGATTGACTAAGGAACCATTCCAGATCCCACATTAAGTCAATCTCAAAACTTATTTCCCATTGACAGGGCCGCTTATGCAGAGTCCATAGGATGTAGAAAGCCTTCATGAAATAGAAATCGGATGGAATACCCATCCGCAGAACAGGACTGGAACGCTTTAGAAGCACATTTATTTAAAGAACACCTTTAAAAAATTCATAAGCCAGTTCAAAGAAGACAGTTATCAGTTGTGTTGAAAGTACATTCAAATGTCCCTAAAAAGCCAGACACATTCGAATATGAAAGAAACCACGCAACCAAAATATGCGACGACCTGGACAGAAGTTCAAGGTGGGGTTCGAGGAAGTTGATATCAAAACGAAATGTAGTCGATCTACTTAGATCAGGCACGTTGACGTATTCTCCAGTTAAAACCTCTGTTACACCTATTAGGATACAAAAGAATACTAGATCTGGAAACTGCGATAAACTCACACAACAAAACCCTAGATCTCAACATTGACACGCATATAACGGCAACCATCTCTAAACAACCACTTAAACCAACAAACAAACAACGAGGAGATCAACGAAAGAGACATTGACAAATCAGAACGCCATGGAAGTAGAAGCTTAAAAACTAAAAAGAGGTGGGAACCAGCAACCTGAATGCCATGCTCCAAGCAGTAAAGTTCCCAGCAGGCATTGCCGACCTGAATCCCGGCCTGACCAATGTGGACGGAGATGCACTCTCTCATTGTGGCTTTGAAACGGGAGATAAAATGGAACAAAATCTAGAAGAAGAGGAAGAAAACGGAAAAGAAAAAGAGGAGCGTTTATGAAGACGCTACTCCAAAAGGATCGGAAATGGGTGTCGGGGGGAACCGTACGCAGGACAGTTTATAGTTTATAGCAGGAAAAAGTAGGAGTTGGATGTGGCGAGGGGAAGAGGCGTAGCGGTACCCGTGGTACTGCACGAGCGGCACGTGGGAGTTTAACCATAGTTACCTCTCCGTGGTAACATTACTAGGGTTCGCCCTTCGTGTCCCTCAACATTTGACTGTAGGACGTGGCTTTACTTTTATCGTTGGTGGAATTTAAAATGACAGCTAAACTTCAAATCAATTTTAATGTATTAATATATAATTACTACTAATATCAATACTTAATTTAAAATTTATTTTTAAGTATAAGGTTGATGTATTAATAGATATAGATTCAAGTTAGATATAATCGATCTTGTTTAGATGATAAGTCAAGAAAATACTTTCTCCTCTCTCTACGTTATCGTCTTTCCCAATATAAAAGGCAACAATATTTCATGAATATATGATATTTATAACCCAACCATAAATAAACTTCCATGAAATTACCAAATTAATTATGAAAAAAAAAAAAATCAGATTCTTCTTCCAAGATCATCAGCCAGAATGGCCTGAAACTTTGAATCACGAACCCTTGTTGTTGTTGTAGATTCCATAGTAGTACTGCCTGGCTTGCTCCTGTCTGCCCTGTTTGTTCCTTTTTCCTCTAATGCCCAAGATAGATAGATAGATAGATGTGGAGGTTTTACATTGCACTGATGAGAGATTGAGAGAGAAACATATATGAAATCATAACCCAAAAGCAAAAGAAGTAGAGAGATTTTATTTTTGGTTCAGTGATTACAAACCTGATTATATCGATCCCCATCTACAGAAGAAGAAGAAGAAGAAGAAGAAGAAAGAAAAGAAAGGTTTGATTTATATAGACAGAGAAAGGCATGGGGGCTCGATGTGGGCGGTGAAGGGCCCTTTTCATATCCAACCCTTTCTCCTTCTTCAACGCGTTTTATGGATTAAATCAAAAGGGGGTTTTAATTTATAAATTACAGACGAGAGATTTCATGGATTTCACATGCAACTTTATAGGCTAAGTTCGTGTGAGTTCGCAAAAAAAATAAAAAAAAGCATCGTGTTTTGGGGTTTCATTCCAAATAAGCCAGCCAGCTCAAATGCACACTCCAAATTCAATTACAAATGCTAATAAAAACAAACAAACGAGATTTTTTTGAAAACATGGGGGAAAAAAAAAAAAGTAAACATGGAAATTGTGAAAAAAAAAACAAAAGGTAGCTTGAGGCTTACTATGATTAAGAATTAGAATGTCGTTGTGTTTTTTCTTTGAATATTGTGGTCGGATAAGATGTTTTGAAGTATGCTTCTTCCAATCAAAACACGGGTATATGTAATTTAAGAGACATTTATTGTCATAAATAAGAAGAAATTAAAATTTATTTAGGACAATAAAATCACCCACAGGTTTTTTTAATTGGTAATTAGTTAACCATTTTCATTACCTTATAGGTTTACCAACCACGGTGGAGCGATGAAAGGAGATGGAAACGACCTTCTTAAATAAGGTTAATTAGGTAGGGTTATCGTCTCTAAATTGGTGGGTTAATTTGGTACAAAATCTAAACTTCTGTATTTTAATTAATTCTTATAATATAATTTCCAACCCATAGTTAAATATATAGTTCATAATCAATTTTTATAAAACAGACGTGTTAGAAAGAAAAAAAAATGTGAAAAATATAGAAAAGAGTGAATATTAGAAAGAAAAGGAAATAAAATGTAATTACAGAAAAATAAGAGACAATATTAGTTAGAGTTGTTTGTAGTGAGGGATAAAAAATTTACATTTCAAACGTGTTCCTTATTTTGTGATTATATTTTGTTCCTCAACTTGTTTTCTAATTAATATTTTTTTAAAATTAAAGGAAGTAAGTGGGGTCCAGCAAGTGGGTCTTTGACACGTGTAAGAAATTTGGGTAAGATAAGATTGGCAATGGCAATGGCCGTGGCCTTCCTTCACATTACCCAACCAAGCAATTTCCTCTTCCTAGCGCTTAGTTGTGAGTGGGTTCTGATCTTGAAGCGGGTGGGTTTGGTTTCTTTTAAGGGAAGTAGTTATGCAGCCAATTCCGGATGTTAACCAGCGCATTGCTCGAATCTCTTCGCATCTTCATCCTCCCAAGCCTCAGGTTCTCACTCTCTCTGCCTTCTAAATTTCTCTCCTCTTTGGTATACTTTTTACGGGTCACTGTGAAATTGGAAGCGTGGCGTTGTAACCCAATGACCCATCTGGGAATATGGGATTTAGTTGTGGATTAAGCGATCGTACTTGCTCCATTACTCAGCCTTTTATCCCTTATTTGCTTTGATTCTGGTTGTGCTGGGATAGATGGAGGAGAGTTCAGCTTTGAGGAGGGCCAATTGCCGGGGGAAAGGCGGAGCTCCTGGGTTCAAGGTCGCCATACTTGGGGCTGCCGGTGGCATTGGCCAGCCCCTTGCGATGTTGATGAAGATGAATCCTCTGGTTTCTATTCTACATCTTTATGATGTAGTTAATGCCCCTGGCGTCACCGCTGATATTAGCCATATGGATACTGGTGCTGTGGTGAGTTCTTTCTTTTTTTTTTTTTTTTTTTTT